TACTACTACTACTACTAGTACTACTACTACTACTACTACTACTACTACTACTGCTACTACTATTACGACTACTATTACGACTGCTAGTACTACTACTTCTACTACTACTACTACTACTACTACTACTACTAGTAGCACTGCTACTAGTGCGACTATGACGACGTCTACTACTCCTGCAGCTGCTGATGTTGCTTCTTCTGTTTCTATCACTACTTGTACGGCCTCGGACTGTTGTTCAGTGACATTTGAGTTTTGCCGTTTCAGATGTCGCTGATCTTTTGTCGCCAGCGAGCGAGACTGCGCAGGTCATGGAACAGCTGGAGGTTCTTATCCACGGCTCGGCCGAAGCCCGGCGTTTGTCGGGCGAGGCAGCAGCAGAGGCGCCTGGATTCTCTCTCTGAAAGTGCTAAGACGGAGCAATGGTTAGGAAGTGTGATGTTCGCAGGCGGCACACAATGGTAGTATGCATGTCGACACTCATTCCTGCCATGAGAACACTCGCAGTCATCGTGATATTTGGAATGGTCGACAGAAACAACGCCAGTAACTGCAATAAGCAGAGTACAAAAGTCGCGGTTGTATAGGCGATGGCAGTTCTGCAAGAATCAGATCAATGCGAAGGAGAAGCACGTATTCTAAAGAACAAAAGTAGTCGTGGCGGCCTTATCCGCACTCGTACACGATATTGAGTTCTTTCTTCATCGCGTTCATCTAAGAGCAATCGCTGCGCCCTGCGAACTGAAGCATGTTGAGACCCGAGCAAACCACATGCGAAGCCCCTTGGGCTTTTTAGCGCTTGCCTTTCTGCTGTTTTTTTGTTGGGGGTGTTTTATGCTTCGAATCAGAACCAGAGCCTGAAAGTTCCTTTCTCCTTAAACCCTAAACCCTAAACCCTCAAAACCTTGAGGCCAGACGCATCTCGGAGGAAGGCCGAGACCTGCTTCATCTTCATCCGTTGGTTCCATACTCTCATGGGAGTTTCCGAAGATAAGGGTTTAGGGCTTTAGCGTTTAGGGTTTAGCGTTTAGGGTTTAGGGTTTAGGGTTTAGGGTTTAGGGTTTAGGGTTTAGGGTAGGGGTACCTGTACCTTATTTCGGGGGTCCTTATAATAAGGATCCCACTATTTAGGGTACTATATTAGTGTCCCCTATTTTCGGAAACCCCCTCATGTTTCCTTGTCCGGCAAGTTCTTTGTGCGGAACATGATGGCAGTGAAATCGATATCTTCGGGGAGTTGAAAGGAATAGCATCTTAGTTATGTTTCCTTTGCTGCTGGCGCGGCTCCCGCTGCAATACTACTTCGACGACTCCCGCTACCAGCCACTACTCCTACTGCTCCGAGTGCCGCTGCATGCGGTTGCTGTGCCACATGTACTGCTGCGGCTTCTGGTGCTGCTACTACTACTACTACTACTACTACTACTACTACTACTACTGAGACTACTGCTGCTCTGGCCAGCAGTGCGGTTATTGCAGCTTTCTTGCAACAGCACCCCAGCAAGAGTACACATGGCTAGCAGCCGTCACGAGACTAAGCTGAAGGTCTTGTCCGAGTTTTGAGACCCTCAAGCCTAAACTCTAAAGCCTACACTAAACCCTAATTATACTAGAGTCCTATAGCGCCCTGTGAAGATCCTAGGAGATGCCAACTTGGCGATTGGCCCACACGAGAAACACCTGGTGGATGTGGCTTTCGAGGCTTGCGGGCATCGCAGTCCGTCTCGGCCTACTGTAGGCCCTTCCATACCCGCACTGCTCGTACTAGGTTGCTGAGGTGTGAAGGGAATCGGATCAAATTCATCAATGCATCATGCATATACATCCCTGTACAATCCTATACCCTAAACCCTGCCGGTGGATGTGGCTGTGAGATGTTCGGATTTGCCTCCCTCGTCCGGTGCCAGGACATCAGAGACAAGACGCTCAGCGGACATTGAGATTGCCTCAACTCTGCCCTAAACCCCAACCCTAACCCCCTGTAAACCCTACCGCCCTGAAGCCCAAAGCCCTAAACCCTAAACCCTAAAACCCTAGATCCCAAAAATCCTCTCAACCTAAACCTCGGAGGGTTTAGGGATCCGAGATCTGCGGCGCCAGTGTTGCATCCAACTGAGGTTCGAAAGCGGTCTGCATCCCAGTTGATTCGACCAGTCGCTTCTGGCGAATTTGGGCTTGGGTCCCTCTCAATGTGGAACTCTTTCTTATAATGCTCCAGTCACCGAGAACAGAGAATGAGAAGGATATCGGAGGAGTGCGCAGACTTCATTAACTTGAGGCTTCAACCGGGCAACCCGGGTTTCAGGAAGTTAACCTGAGACAGGCTAGCTCCGCTTGGCTTTTCTGCTCCAAACCCTAAACCCTAAACCCTACGGAAGCGGTGTTGCCAACCTCAGAACTAAAAACGGGGCTTCCTGGAGAAGGTTCGGCGCACAAGATCACCGGCTACACCGTCCGCGTGCCTGTGATCATCTCAGCGGAATCGAGGTGCCAGCACTCTTGTCTGGTGTAATGAGCTCGGACTTTATTCGGGACGATAAGAGTCGTTGCTTTGGGCAGTGGTCTGTTGAAGATGATTAACCACAACTACCACCGCCAGCACTACCACCACCAACACCACCACCAGCAGCACCATCACCAGCACCGTCACCAGCACCAGCAGCACCAGCAGCAGCACCACCAGCACCAGCACCAGCACCAGCACCAGCACCAGCAGCACCAGCAGCACCAGCACCAGCAGCACCAGCACCAGCACCACCAGCAGCAGCAGCAGCACCA